AGGACCAGGAGGCCATCTTTAGTCTGGCCCCTCACCAATGACCTGTCCGGCTTGGGTGACCCTGTCAGGAACATACGTTCCCGCCGGCATAGCTCACTGGGTCACCGAGGCTCTCAAGCTCCCCCACCACTACAAGGTCATGGCCTCTGGCGGATGTCAGAAATAATTAAAAATCACTATTTAAATTTAACGCGAAACAAAATAATGTAAAGTACTAAGATAACAAGAAGTACTGAAGTTTATATAGTAAGATTGTTAGGAAGAAAAATAATAATACATTTAAATAAAATATAAGTCTACAGTCTTAAAACGTTTGGGGATTATTGAAACAAAAATGTGGGAAAAGTTTTGTTTTGGTGTGATATTTCCACTTCTGTTTTTACAGGAAACGCGCCAGCAGTGTTGCCCCTTTGGATGTTTTACATCCAGATTTTGATGCTTTTTCTTGCATTTAGATGGTGTTTTTGACGTTTAGATGGTAGATGTTTTTCTAGAAGTTTTTCATTTGGATTTGGGAGTTTGGAGTTGGATATTTTATAGATTTTTTCTTTGAGTGTCAGTTTAATAATTACTGTGTAAAATATTTATTACAATATTTTTGTTTTGGTCTGGCACGAACATTGTGACAATCGCGGTTACTTAAACTTTTAACTCTGGGGTCAATGCTCAAATATCTGACAGCCCCGGTACTGATTAAAAGAGCGCGTAAATAATACTAACTTTGTTTCAACCGTATCCTTACTGTGCTGACTTTGTGTTTCTTTTTCTTGTGATTTAAAAAAAAATAATTGCTTACCTTCATTTGTGGCTTTCACTTTAAAAAAAAATCTTTGAACATGCCAAAGGAAAGTATGAGCACAAATTTCGGAAAGAGTGGCTGCATGATGACAAAATTAAAGACTGGGTGATGGCAGTTCCTGGGGATATGACCAATGTTCGTTGTAAGTACTGCAAGTGTGAAATTAAAGCGAAAATGCAAAACTTAAAGAGTGGTGCAGAGACTAAAAAGCATAAAACTGCAGTTCCATTCAAAGATATTACACCGCTGACGGGTTTTCAGAACAACACTGATAAATTAATCATAAAAAGTTGAAGGATCGGTCGCAAACTTTTAGGTTATCATTGAGCAATTTCACACTGTGACCATTTGATTGATTTGTTTAAAAACACTATTTCTGACAGTAAAGTTATGGCTGATGTGAAAATGCATCGCAGCAAGTGTACACATATTATAAGAAATACTTTATTTTCTCACATTGAAAAAGATTTCATCAGTGATATTTCTACAAATAAATATAGTTTATTATTAGACGAATCAAGTGATATTTCTGTACTGAAAGTGCTTGGTGAGTGCATTATACATTACAGCAACAATACAGACAACGTAGTTTCTACATATCTTGGACTAGTTCAATTGGAAAAGTGTGCTGCAGAAAGTATAGTATAATAGTGTATAATAGGAACTAAAGAAACTTTTAATCAGCAAACAATTAGACTTGAAGAATTTGGCTGCAAGTGGTACCGATAATGCCTCGGTGATGGTTTGTATAAACAAGGGCGTTTATGCCAAGTTGAAGTAAGCTATCCCGTCGGTAATCCTTATATAATGTATGTTTCATTCATTGCAGCAAGCATTATCACATGCTTCATCTGAATGTTTACCAAGAATTTTGAATAGGAATACCTTATTGCTGAAACACATAACTGGTTTTCCAAATCATTTGTCAGACAGCAGCATTACAATACCTTTTATACAACCTTGAATGATGGTTCCACACCACTAAAATTCTGTCAGATTGCAAAACTAGATGGTTATCAATTCAACCAGCTGTTGAAAGAATTGTAAACCAATTGTTTGAGTTAAAAAGACACACTTTGAAGTAACAAGACAAAGTGCAAAGTGCTACACAGCTGAAATACTATATGGAATGTACAGTGATGAAAAAAAAATTTGGCATTCCTTCTTTTCTTAAAACCTATTCCAATGGAAGTGCAAAACGTTAATAAACAGTTCGATATAAAGTTAAATTACTTGACGATCTCACTTTGCTATTTCACTCAGTTGGTAAAAGACTGGTGTTGCCGACTTCTAAAGCTGATTTGCTCACTTGCACTATAGAGAGCTATTTGGCTCCTAAGCCCTACCTTGGATATTTAATCAAATAAAAAATTGATTATTTAAAAACAAAACAAAAAACTGTTAACAGAGAATGAAGAGAACAACTTAAAAAAACGCTTTGAAGATTTCCTTATCTCATTATTCAAGCAATTGAAGCAGAGACTTCCTGAAAATCTAGATGTAATGAAAAATATTTCACTCTTTTCTGTGAGCAACATTCTTAAGCCAGTAAAAGACATACCTAAATAGTGTAAAGTTATAAAATGTTTAGGGGCTACTGATAATAGTGTCGCGGAAGCAGAATATCAGTTAAATAAAATAAACTTAGTTGAATAGAGAAACAAAACAGAAACTAAAGCCTTTTGGAATGAAGTGAGACAATTTAAATATGCCTCATCAAACAGTCCATTCTGTAAGCTCTTTGAATGTGCTATGTCTGCCATGATACTAACTAACTCAAATGCAGATGTACAAATAGTTTTCAGTGATATCTAAATTAAGAAATAGGATGAAACTTGACCTCTTAAATGCTGTCTTGACAATAAAATTCGGCCTGATGAGAGTATTAAAATGCTGTTCAACTTATTAGCTTCCTGATTGTGTATGAAAAGAAATTGGAACAGCTAAAGCATACCAGAGTCATTTTAGTTCTGAAGCTTCAACTTCATCATCCAATGTGAGTTTATCCTGTGGATCTTGTAAGACTGACTTCAGTAAATATGAAGACATGATTCTATAGGGTGAGTCGTATCAATAGCTATGTAATTTTTGACTCTTTCCATTTGGATATTTTTTCTAGATGTTTCCTACGGAAATTTAGATTTTTTAAGATATTATTTGACTCTGTTCTGAATATTTTGTTTCAAAGAAAAGTGGCAACACTGCGCGCCAGAGTTTGTTTGATCTTCGCACTTTCCAAATTTTCAACCATCTGTCCCTGCACTAGAGAGGACACGTTAATCCACTTTTTTGTAATTATATCGTAAGTTATCATTCTCTCTCGACAACTTGCCATGGGCGTTGACCATAATTGTGTTCGTGCAGTCCATAATTACGTCATACCCAAGGAATATACCAGCGATAGTAAAGTAGTAAAATCACCGAGCGTTAACGAAAACAGGTGCTATTAATGAGTATTTTTTTTTTAAGTTATCAGTCAGTCAATGCGAGTAGTCATGATCTGTTTCCACATCATGGTAGTGATACTGACTTCTAGATAAATGCTCCATCTCTAAAAAGTAAATATTATTAATTACATACAGAATCTTCAAGCTGGTGATTCTGATTGACAACAACAAACAGTAATTCATAATTCAGTGTTGATACTTCCCGTCATGGTGTCGATTGACTGGAACAAAGAAGACAGGAGCAGTAGCACTCGAGTGTAGTGTAGACTAGTAACCATTATGGATTGTGCAGATTTAATTAATAATAATGCATGACATCTCCGGAGGTGAATACTGGCCGTACTCTTGTGCATTTATTTTCCCATTTCAAGTTCAATTATAATTATTTGAACTTGAAATGGGAAAATAAAAGCACATGATGATCTTGAAGATCACTGATCAGATTAACTCCCTAGGTGACAGACAATAAACAGATTAACTCCCTAGGTGACAGACAATAAACAGATTAACTCCCTAGGTGACAGACAATAAACAGATTAACTCCCTAGGTGACAGACAATAAACAGATTAACTTCCTAGGTGACAGACAATGAACAGATTAACTTCCTAGGTGACAGACAATGAACAGATTAACTTCCTAGGTGACAGACAATGAACAGATTAACTTCCTAGGTGACAGACAATGAACAGATTAACTTCCTAGGTGACAGACAATGAACAGATTAACTTCCTAGGTGACAGACAATGAACAGATTCAGATAGTAGTTTCTTGTAGCGATAGTGATGAATGTTGGTTCTAACTCTACCAATGTACAGAGATAAATTCGTTTTATATAATCTTTACAGTATGGATTTAAACCTGCACAGCTGCATAATGTGTGTCCAGATGAACGTTCAACCATTCAGTGAACAATTCTCTCTTGGGATCATCCATGATCCATTCTCAATAATTTTCTTACTTACTGTGCTTGCATGGATGCAGTTTTAGTTTATAACTGAGTTTTTCTATTCGAGGTTGTTGTTTGCTCATCACAAATAATGAAGACCACTCTTTCTTACTTTAATCCATCATGTAAAAGAAACTAGTTGACCTCTGTGAGGCCAGAAGTGACTTATAAGCCTAATATGGGCCCTGGCGGATCCAGGACAAATGAGGGCAGGGAACAGTGTCTGTAGGTGAGGGGCCTGCTATATGGATCTTTCTAGTCTGCCTGAACTGCTCGACCGTCTTTGAAAAGATGTTCACCATTTAGTCTACTCTTGTGCAGCAACCTCTCAAGTGTCTAGCTGTAAACCACATCTAACTGCAGAATACATAAGAAGAAAAAATACTGTGGTATGACAAAATAATTAACAAGACAGTCCTTCAACAAACAGTATGTGTTGTGTAGCTCAAAAAAACACACATTGAAAGATTTGACTTGAACAGTGAGTTTATTCTTCCCTTTTTTAAACTATCCTAGTGTTAAATAAGCGGCATATTCAATTAATCTCTTTCATATGCTATTCATCTTGAAACAAGTGAGTGTGTTATATCATATACTTGTAAACAAAGTTGTATATTGTGTGCATTAACCAATTAACTTAGTGTAATATTAGTTGGGATGAAAATGTCTTCAGTTAAATTCATTGTGTAACATTTCTGGAACTAATTTTTCACAAATGGATTGCAAAGATTGTAATCTCTGTAAGCCAGTTATTTATCACCGATTAAAGTGATCTTTAAATAAATTGTCCACAGTAAAACTGTCAAAATGGCTGACCTAAATGAACTGAGTGATGCTGAGCTGTCAGAGATGTTGAAGACCTATGGTGTTAATGTTGGACCCATTAATGGTAAGATTTCCTGGACAGTAAATATAAATTTAATGGCTCTACTGGCAAATCCGGACGAAGAATAAACAGACTTGGACGACTTAGTCAGAGTTATCTCCCGTCGTCGCACTCCGAACAGTAATCGGAAAACAAACGAAACAAACGACACACTTACCTATCATCCTGCGGTTGCGTGTAGGGCTGCGTACGGTTGCGTGAGACATCGTGGCATCATCATATGGTTGCGTGTACGGTTGCGTGAGGCACTGTGAATGGTTGTGAAGTCATCATCATGCGGTTGTTTGATTAGAGTTATTGGTAGGGGTAGGGTTAGGGTTAGATGTGAAAATTTTGACGTAGGATTTCGAAATACTGGCCGACAATATGATGTTTGTGGGAGTGGCGCCACTGAAACTCTGCCAAATATGACGCCAATAGCGTGCGGCTGGTGCCCCCAATCGTTGGCGAATTGTGCGTGTGACCAGCATCCAGAGGCCCTCGATTGTTTGTGTGTGTGTATGGGACTGTGCGCGATTATAGGGAACTCCGGCGTCAAAATTGTCAAATCTAACGCTAATCCTAACCCTACCGCTAATCCTAATCCTACTCCCTAACCCTAACCCCTACCCCCCTAACCACGCAAATTTATCGATCATTAAAGCATACAAATCGGCAAACACGAACAAACAAAACACACCCAAAAAAAAAACACCCAGAATTGTCCTGCAGCGTCGAAAAAAAAACCAGATCTGGGGGAAACAACCAAGCATTGGCAGCCCTGATGTCGACGTGACTGTCTTCTTTGTTTCGTTGTGGCTTTTCCGATCACTGTTTGGAGTGCGGCGACGGGAGAGAACTCTGACTAAGTCGTCCAATGCTGTTTATTCTTCGTCCGGATTTGCCAGTAGAGCCAATTTAATTCTTCTTTCGTTCGCATAAAATAAATTATCTATATCTGCAATGCTGTCTCTAGTATGAACTTCACTGTCTTTTGTAATTCCCTAAGCGGCCCCTAAAGTTTGACTTCCACAATGTCTCTTTTGGCCAGAAGTTTTGCCTGGAAGCGTTGAATAAAGGACAGTCTTGGAGGATGTGATATAAATTAAATAGTTTGTTGACTGTGCGGCGGCAAACCAAGTGCAGTATCTTTGTGTTCATCATAATCAATGAGTTCCATCGCAAATTGTGATGTCGTCTTGAGGTGTGAAGTGCCAGGCTTTCACATATTCTGCCTTTATTGGGTTGCATTGGCCAGTTCCCTTCTTTATCGTTTTTCCTTCCTAGACAGTTCTCATGAGCTGTCTGCAGTTCTCAATGAACTGTCTGCAGTTCTCATGAACTGTCTGCAGTTCTCATGAGCTGTCTGCAGTTCTCATGAACTGTCTGCAGTTCTCATGAGCTGTCTGCAGTTCTCATGAGCTGTCTGCAGTTCTCATGAACTGTCTGCAGTTCTCATGAGCTGTCTGCAGTTCTCATGAGCTGTCTGCAGTTCTCATGAGCTGTCTGCAGTTCTCATGAACTGTCTGCAGTTCTCATGAGCTGTCTGCAGTTCTCATGAGCTGTCTGCAGTTCTCATGAGCTGTCTGCAGTTCTCATGAGCTGTCTGCAGTTCTCAGGAGCTGTCTGCAGTTCTCATGAGCTGTCTGCAGTTCTCATGAGCCGTCTGCAGTTCTCATGAGCCGTCTGCAGTTCTCATGAGCCGTCTGCAGTTCTCATGAGCTGTCTGCAGTTCTCATGAGCCGTCTGCAGTTCTCATGAGCCGTCTGCAGTTCTCATGAGCTGTCTGCAGTTCTCATGAGCTGTCTGCAGTTCTCATGAGCTGTCTGCAGTTCTCATGACCTGTCTGCAGTTCTCATGAACTGTCTGTAGTTCTCATGAACTGTCTGTATCTAAAAGGTCCCTTTTCCACGCCTTCAGGCGTATTGGGAATATAGGGCTAGACCTATACGGCACTTGGTGGGTGATGTGGTCAGCATCATGCCGGCCGCCTTTACTTCCCATGACTACCTGGTACCCACTCAAGGCTGGGTCCACCTGGGAGTGAAGGTCATTTTTGAAAAGAGTCTGGCTCAGCCAGGAACCTACAGCCTTCCGATCTGCAGGTGGGCGTCTAGCAGTCAACGCCACGGCGACTCCCCATTGTCTGCCACTTTTAAATGCTATTTATGAAAAGACGGGATCTTGAACCATCATAAGGATTAAATTGTTGTCCCTAGCAAAAGTAAACTCATCACCTTACTGAATATGATACTGACCAGATCACCCACCAAATGCCGATTGGTCTATAAAATATACATGGTCTGACAATTATGTAATGAGGCCAATTCCATGATAATTAAAATAATCAACAGATATAACCTGTATTTTATTCAAAGTAAGCCCCTTGTGCATTGATACAGCAAGTGGCACGATCTAACAAACACTGGAACAAGCTCTGTAATTCTTCTGTTGTTATGGCCCTTAAAGTCGATGTTACGGCAATTTTGCTGTCATCAGTATCCTCAAAGAAGCGTATTTTCAATGGTAACTTTAATTTTGGGAATAAAAAATAATCAGAGGGAGACAAATCTGGAAAGTAGGGTGGATGGTTAAGAACACACACTTGTTTTGGGGCCAAAAATTCCTGTACAACCGCCGGTGCATTGTCACCAAGAAGAGACAAATTGCCAGGTGTTGAATAGAAACCGGCAAGCAACTTTTTGTGTGTGCCTAAATCTTCCACTAAAATTTTACGAATAGTCTCTGTATTAACACCAAATTCATCTACCATCATCCTCACAGTCGAACAACAATCTTCTTTTATCTGTTCTCGGAATTTTGCAATGAGTTCCTCATTATGAACAGAAATTGGGCGTCAGGGTCTAGATGCATTAGTAATCATTTTCACACCACTTTTGAATTGTGAATACTAGCCCAAAATCTTTGCACGAGATAAACAATTATCCCGATAAACTTGTCGCATCAATTCAACTGTTGCAGTGGTGCTTTTTCTGAGTTTTGAACATAATTTAATGTTAGCTTTTTTGCTCGGGGCTGATTACGTAACAATGCACCTCTGACTAGTTAACAAAATGGCGGCTTGTTTGTTATCTGCTTATCGGGCGGCGATGAAATGTTGCTAGATCATAGCCCTAATAAAAACAGTCTCATTACTTAATTGTGGGACCTTGTAGTTAAGCCCTATCTACCTGTATGGTGAAAAGGGGTCTTTTACTTTATTTTTACTTACTGAAGATGCAAACTTGGGTTTCCTGAATTAAAGCCCAACTTTCGGCTATCCTTCTAAAAACGGTCCCAAATTATCGAGGCCGAAAAATACCCTAACAGGGCCTTAGTCACATGTCAATTGCCAACTTCCAGCCACTTAAATTGCGGACTTCTGGTGACTACCACAACCGCCGAGAGTATCTCCCGCGCTGCTACGCGGGGCTAAACTAGATGGCTGAGACTCACGAGAAAATAAAATGAAGGCAGCTGCAGGAGATGCGATAGCTGCTGCTCGTGAGTCCCAGCCATCTAGTTTAGCCCCCTCTATGCCACGCGTAGCGGTGGGGAGATACTCATGGTGGTAGTCATCAGAAGTCCGCAATTGACATGGACTGAGGCCCTGTTAGTGTATATTTTCGGCTTCGATAATTTGGGGCCGTTATTTGGAGGATAGCCTTTCTTAATTACATGGGCAGCCACTGCAGTAATTTTGTAAACTTAGTGTCCTGCTACTTGTGGGGATTAAACCCAGTTGGATGCTGTCATGGTAAGCAAACCCAAGAACCATTGCACTTTTGTGACTGACAGAATTACCTACCTAAATTATGGGCTACCAGATGCTTGGACTACAAATTGTCTGATGTACAGGCAGACTTAATCTGTAACCAAATTGTTTTACAAGAATTCTTTGGCATCCAAGTTAGATGGTTTGCACACCATTGTAGTTTTATTCTTAGGCTGTCTTTGGGCACAGATCTTGGCCTGGCAAGTAAACCATCCCCCCCTCGCCCCGCCCCGCCCTTCCCTACACAACACAACGGCCTTAGCTTTTTCTCATGCTTGTGATCAATATCACTGTGCTTTTTTACCCACCACATACTACTGTGACATAAAATATGTGAGACTACAGCATTATCTGCTATGCAGTTACTTTTTCCTGTTTTCAAACCTAGAAATCATCTTTGTTTATTTTCTGTATTATTTGCATTCATTGACATTCATATTATTTCAGAGGCCACAAGGAGGACTTATGAGCGTAGGCTTGCCAAATTGCAGGCAGAAGAACCTGCCCCAGTCTCTCAGGTGGTTAATAATGTTGATCAGAGTATTGATGAAGGTAGGTAGAACCTTTTGCATATGTTTTGTTTTTCTCTCAATTTTAACTTCATCCTTTCCTGATCCTGAATTTTTCCATAAGAAATAAAGGGAGAATGATTACTCCATTCCCATGAAAAGTGTCCCTCTGTGAATATGTGATTTGCATATTATACATTGATGGCTGTTGTATGTAATAATTTATTTGTGCATAATATTGAAACACATAAATACAGAAGCAGTTAAAGGAAATAAATGAAAATGCAACCGCTTTATCTTCTTGGAGGATTTAAGTGCCTGCTAGGATGGTACTGAAAAATGAGGAGGGGATGTTCAAGTTTGGAAAAAGTCTCTCTTGTTGTTTTTTTTGTCGTCTTTTTTTCGCTACTTGGACCTTGTTCATCAGATTTGACTTTTACTTTAAAAAAAACTGTCCAAAAAACCTTGCTTCTGGCTTGTCCTCAAGATGTTTCGGAAATGTGACATTGTCTGGTCATCCCAGATGGTGCTCTTTTCGCTTAGTTGAGCTTTGTTGGTTTACTTCTCTGCAAAGTCATTGACATCTATTTAAGGCTTTGTCTCCAGAGAGGTAAATAAAGACACGGCACGGTGTCGTGACTAATTTTGACTCATGCAAATTCTAGCACACGGGTAATTTTACAAACAAAGGTCAAATACCTAGGAAAATCATGAACAATGTATACCAAGTTGAATGAAACAGAGCAAAGGTATACTGAGGTACCGGTGTGTGTGTGTGTATATTTAAGCTGCAAAATGACTGCTAGTAGGTAACACATGAAGATATTTAAGACCTTTTTTTTTTTTGACATAGCAGTAGTTATAAGCATAAGAGTTGAAAGGAATTAGACCACAAGGCAGACCAAGAAGACTGGAGAGATAATATACAGGTGGACCCGCAGACAGACAGACAGATTGGCAGGTTCTGCATAACTTGGTGGAATTTGGATACATGATAAAGCATGTTTAAGGCCTTATGGAGCATGTGTACAATTTGGAAGAGCAAATTGATCATCACAGTCTGATGAGAGTGCAGCGAGGAGTGATCAGGGGCTCTGGATGCTCAGAGGAAAGGCAAGACGGACATATAACTAGACTGCTACTGTATCAGTGGTAAGGGAACTCCACACTGGCTTCTGAGGATCGGGACGGAGCACTTATGGGAATGCCCTGAGCGCTATAATGTTAGTTCTTGAATCAAATCAACCTGCAAACACTTCAGATCACCAAACAGAAAGAGAAGGCAAATAAGAAATACATGTCTCAGAATATTTCTCCGATGGGGGAGAACCCAGAATGTACAGGTTGTAGAACATGCTGCTGTGTCCTAGCAACAGTGTCCACCACCATAATTAATTATATTGGTTAATGCTATCTTATTTTAATAGAAGTGAATGCGTCGTCTGTGGAAGACCTATCTGTATCTGTGGCAGACGTGGCTACATCTCCCTTCCATCAGTCTGAGGATGAAAATGAGAATACAAACAGAGGTACAACATTTAATTGTGTGCTGTATTGTTTAAGTCTTGGGTTACTATAGTGAGCAGTGGCTATTATCATTGTGTATTTTGGTTTCACGTATGTTAGAGAATAATTTAGGATTTTGTTGTTGCTTCAACTGAGTTTTGGTGGTATAGAGGCTAGCTCACAGGGCTGTCAGATCTATTGTTCTAGTGAAATCCTGGAGGCTGTGAAACATGTTAACATTTAAAGAGCCAAAACATTACACTGGTAAAGTATTTCTTATACTGAAAGCAAATGAAAATCCTGACCTGCGCAGTTCATGGTAACTGTGCTAGCCATGTGGTCCTAATTACTCCGGCTTGCGGTCCCCTGTGCTAGGCCACCCTAAACACAAGCAGTAAAGACAGTGTTAAAATGAGATGTCCAAGAAGGGCTCCAGTAAAGACAGAATGCAGATTGAGGTCATAAGAGAACAAGTCGGCACAGAACGAAAGATTACATACAAAAGAGAGCAAATCAAAAGGTTTGCACACCTAGAGAGAGTTCCTTGCGACATAATACCATATAAGGCGTACACAAAAAGAGGAGAAGGATGTAAATCATGAGGTAGACCAAGAACAAAATGGAAAGATACTATCAGAGAAACGGCTGTAAAAACCAGAAACAGAACCTTGTATCTCCCTTGGTACCTAAAGCAGTAAAAGATAAAATGAAGAGCTGGAGAGAAACAGACAGTATTGTAAGTTATAACATTTAATTGATTGCTGTGCTGAATGTCAGCGTGCTGTGCTATATTTTTGCCCTTTACCTCCCCACACTTCTTCTGCCCTTTACCTCCCCACACTTCTTCTGCCCTTTATCTCTCCACACTTCTTCTGCCCTTTACCTCCCCACACTTCTTCTGCCCTTTACCTCCCCACACTTCTTCTGTCCTTTACCTTCCCACACTTCTTCTGCCCTTTACCTCCCCACACTTCTTCTGCCCTTTACCTCCCCACACTTCTTCTGCCCTTTATCTCTCCACACTTCTGCCCTTTACCTCCTTACACTTCTTCTGCCCTTTACCTCCCCACACTTCTGCCTTTTATCTCCCCACACTTCTTCTGCCCTTTACCTCCTCACACTTCTTCTGCCCTTTACCTCCCCACACTTCTTCTGCCATTTACCTCCCCACACTTCTGTCTTTTATCTCCCCACACTTCTTCTACCCTTTACCACCTAGTGGAGCATAGGCTTTCAGCCAGCTCATGCCAGATTGTCTTATCCTTTGCTATCACATGCAGCTCACGTTATGTCCTTGTCATTTAAATTCAGTCCCTGTGTCCCTTCTACGTGTATATGTTTCTCTGCCTTTATTTCTTTGCACTAAGTTTTAATGTTCTCAGGTTTTCACTCCACAGTCTTAAATAATCTGTAACTAGTTCATCGTCATGTCTGTACACATCAGGCAGAAGAAGGAAATGTTTAATGTAGATGGCAGTCTTGGCTGGATTCTTGTGTGCCAGTCAGAAAGCTGACTTTTCTCATATTGTCATGTTTTTTTCTCTAAATCTTTGGTGATTGTTGCTGCCACTGAATTGTACATTTGCAGTATATTTCTTCCTGCTTATATTGTTGTATTTTGTTTATTTTTGTTTGTTCTCAGTGGTGGTAAACGAGAGGTATAAAGAAAGTTTGAAGACTACAGTAATAGCTCCAAGTCAACATTTGCCAGAGACTATTAAAGAAGGTACACTTGATTCTGTTTTATTGTTGTTTGGGTCATGGTTCATACTGCATGGGGTGCCACTTCTTAATTCCTTCATATTGCATTGTCATTATCATCATCATCAGGTGCCTTGCCGACTGGCGTGGGAGATCATGCCTCTCCACAATCTGCGATCTCTTGCAGCATGTATCACTTCATGTGCCAACACACCTCCATGCCATGCAACAAGACTCAAGAATCTTCTCTCATTGTCTTCCTCTATCCCTCCTTCAACAGATAATACATTGTACAGTTTGAAATTTGCTTTGTTTTTTTGGTCATATTAATTGTTGTTTCTTTCAGCTCAACAAGTGGTTTCAAGGGAGAGACATTATGAAAAATCAGTAAACCCTACAGTAGTAACAACTCCAGCTCGATATTGGCCAGAGAACAATAAAGAAGGTGAATTTTACTGTCTTGTTTTTTTATTCTGCCTTTTGTCAGCCAAAAGGGCCTAAGTCATCAAGCAGCTCACACATCAGACCTTTGTTGAAGTTTTCAGTTTGTTTCCTACAAGAAGAGTTTGCTAGACACGCCCACACCCCAACCATCCTTTTCGTTATCATGTAGCAAAACGTCATTCTCGGTCGCTTGCCAGCTCTCCCGCCTAGTGTCCTTTCGTATTCAAGGAGTCAGTTATATCATGTGCCCATCTTCGAGTTGGTCGGTCCCTGCCCCTCCACCCTGGTACCATGCCTTCTGTTATAATTTGTTTCATTCTGCCAGGCGCTTGATATGACCAAAATATTTCAGCTTCCAAGACAAAATGCAGTTTTCTGGCTAATTTTCCTTGATGTTCTGATCTTTTAGTTTCAGTTTTTCTTTCTCCATGGTATACTGAGAATCTTTCTATAGCATTTCAGCTCAAAGGCCTTTTTTTTTCTTCCTTAAAGACTGCAAGATTGTCCAGGACTTTCATCCCTATGTTGCTACAGGAAAGTTGCATGCTGGTTCGGTTCGGTAGAAATAAAAAAAAGTAAAAAAAATCTGACGCTTCAGCGTGTCACTGGGACATTGCTTTACTTGCGTCTTCCTTTCTGGGCGGGTTTGTGTTAAGGCTTGTTATTGCGCCTTTTGTTTGCCACTTGCCCTCCTTGCCATTTTCGGTGTTGGAGCTGATTCCTTAGCTGGTTGTCAGTCACGCAGTCACTGAGCCCACCAGGGCAGTCGCCAAGAGCAACCTCTCGAAATTTTGTGTTGACTTTTATTTCCTCGCCATAGACTTTTGATGCTGTTTAATCTTTATATTGCTATAGCCATCCTCCTTTTGACTTCTGTCGAACAGTCTTCGTTGCTGTTTACTATGGAGCCTAGATCTTCCAAGTTTGTGACATTTTCAATTTCTTCATTATTTATTGTTATTTTTGGGTGACAGCCAGTTTTGTCTGTGGACATGTTTTTTTTTCTTTAAATTGAAGAATAGGTTATTTGATCCAACCATCCTTACTCACCTCAAATATCATGCATGTTAGATTATAGTATTACTGTTTATTTTTTCTTCTTGTGCTCCTCAACAGAACATAGGCACTGTTTTGTTTTAATGGAGCATTCAGTCTACAACACAACAGTGTGGCCACATTATAGGCCAGTGCAAATTATCTAATTCCAAGATAAAGGGGACAAAAGGGTTCTACTGGAATAGTAAACAGAAAGAGTAATTAATGAATTGCTAAACAAAATGGTGGGGGGGGGGGGGTAGCGGCAATGGTCACTTTGACTTCCCATGGCATTTCAAGGACGCATTTGATGGGTTGACCTTGGAGTCCTAGGTCATTATACACGTGTCAGCATCTGTGGCTTCGGCATTGCGAACATGCTTCGTAATGCCGGGGTGCTGGTTCAATCCCGGCTGCATGCATTTTGGCAGACCATCTTGCGTTGGTTTTGACAATAATACCAAGAGCTGACCTTTCAGAAGCAATGGCAAAATACTGTGAATTTAAGATTTGCTTAGAAAAAACCGCAACAGCTAAAAAATGCTGGATTTAAAGGATACACAACTAACTTTTTTTTTAAACACAAGACATGTAGCCACTGAGCAACTAACTGCTGCTGCATTATTCATGTCTGTGCAGAGTACCGGGTGAATTAAACAACAATAATGGGTGAATTACAGGCTGAAACGGTAGCAGTCTAGACACTGAAAGATAGAACTTAAATTGGCTTGTATTGTGTTATAACTGTGTTTTAAATTATTTTTATTATTATAGAATTTGCTTAAATTATTATTACTATAGTGTTTGTTGTACCCTAGTAATATTTTCTGTAAAAGAAATAAATATGTGATAGCTATTAATGCATGGAATGTAATAACAAATAAGGGATCACACATCATTTTCTTTCTTTATCAGTACAGCAGCATTTATAAGTCTGGTATAATCCACCGTAGCAGTATAATTTGTTTACAACACTAGATTATAATTGTGTTGACTTTTTGGGGGTTCTAAATGTTGCTGTTGGGGGGGGGGGGGGGGGGGCGCTCACTGCTTCCCATTAGTGACTGCACACTTCACTTTGAGATTCATTTGGCCAGTATGCTCCACAAGCCCAGTTTCACTTTTGTTTATAAGCTGTTTGTCCTCTACATTCTATCTAACATTTCATCACAAAATGCCAGTCTTGTTTTTTATTTCCTCTGACTACTGTCTATGCCAATTCATACAGCATGATAGGTGCCACTTATGGAAATGTTTGTAATGGGGGGGGGCAAATCTGTGATCCAGAGCCAATGCAGCTTGCTCAACATTGCACAGTATTATTTATAACAGGTGAACTTCCTTTGATTGTCGGTGCCTTCAGTATTGATTTGACTTGTTCATGGCTCTTGCTTCAGCTGGTTCATTTTTATTACTTTGTTCTATTTCTATTTCTTGCTCCATCTAGTCACTGCATGGCATGTTTTTTTTTTCCTTGATTATTACAGAAACACAAGTCACCCATCCTGAACCGGCCAGTAGACCAATCCCTGTATTGTAAGTGTTTGTTTGAATAATTTCTGTAGAATTATCAGTTATAATAAGTGTCCAGCTTAATATTAATTACATTGCAGCTTGAGGAGGCTGGCTCAGCGTACATCCAGTGGACTTTATGGCGTAACAGGGATCTTCACCTTTTTTGTTGTTACTATATATATTTAGCTGCTTGTCTTCCTAATTTGGAGACAGACGACTTCTGGGTTTACTTTACCCACATATTTGTACTTGATTCTCAGACTGACTAGTGATGCATGCAGTTCTCACTCTGCACCAATTATCTGCTAGTTTTGGAACTGTCATTGTGCTTCCGTAGAATTATCGTTTCTGATGTACGAACGACTTCATCAGCATATGTTCAAACTTTTCAGTGTAGGGAACATGGAGATGTGTCTAGTGTGGCACCCGACAATGCAGAGCATGTGCTCCAGCACTGTCAGCTGTATGCTGGCAACAGAGATGCAGTCTTGCCTGTACCAACGACAATTAAAAACAATGTTGTGTGGTACCCTAGAAGATATCTCTAGGTTTCATAAGGGCTATCTACCTCCATGCGGGCCCATCTTATATTCGGCCTTAACATCCGTCTGTCACACAGCAGTTGTATTCTATCATTAAAGCATGGTGTGTTCATATAATAATATGAATAACCAGAAGGGACAAAAACATGGGGGGTAAATTGCATATGCATACTCACGGGTGTGCGCACACCTGGCCACTCACACATACATACATTACATATATGCACATACATTAATCCGGTTAAAATGGACGCTAGACAGCGGCGCTGTTCGAAGCAGAGGCCAATTTTTTGCTTCTGCCGGATGGTGGCCGAAGTATTTTTGCTCCATTTGTAGACTGGCTATAGTTTCGTCGCCCAGCTTCTGAGTTGAATGCATGGCGTGACCCTGTGAGCTGCGGATTGCATTTAGAATGTTTTTTTAACTGTGACCAACGTGGTGTGAATTGGAGATTCAGAAAATGGCGTGATGCCGGTCGTCAATGTTGGCGGTGCCCGGATGTGATTACAATTGATCGGGTGGGCAACTGCTGATCTGTTGGCGACAAGTTCTGCTATCATCAATGATGAACTGCATTTCTAATGTTGGACTGTTTGTGCTAGCACTTCGGATGGCTACCGTATGCTTTAATGCGAGTGTATGCTAGATATGCTGAGACAGCAGTCTGTCAATCTTTCCACAAGAGACTGTGATAAACATTCTGAGTGTTTTTTCGTTGGCACAGGAGCGGAGCAAAGATGGGGCGACCCATTTGCTATGAAGCTGAAACTAAGACGACCAGACCAGACCAGGCATGTATGTAGCTTAAATTGGGAATCTAAATGTCTTGCACATTGTGATTCAGATACCTAAAAAGGAACAAGAGAAGCTGTTTAATCTTATAATCTTGTGAAGTAGTTGACCATGACCTGTTTTCAATAATGCTGTAATCTTGTGAAGTAGTTGACCATAACCTGTTTTCAATAATGCTGTAATCATGTGAAGTAGTTGACCATGACCTGTTTTCAATAATTCTGTAATCTTGTGAAGTAGTTGACCATAACCTGTTTTCAATAATGCTGTAATCTTGTGAAGTTTCCTGCCCTGGCCTCACAAGAAGTCTCATAACCTTTAAAGGGTTGCCAGCCACACCCTGACATCTTAAATGCAGCCATCTCCTTGTCTGTAAAAGGAGCCTTCTCACACCATTAGTGCATCGGGCATATGATGCTAAACCCATTTGTGTAGAATAAACTAAAGAGCACTTGATAGTTGATGTGTGAACACCATCTTGGGTACTTCGCTGTCTTACACAACTGTGAGTACTTCGCTGTCTTACAAAACTGTGAATACTTCGCTGTCTTACACAACTGTGAGTACTTCGCTGTCTTACACTTCTGTGAGTACTTCGCTGTCTTACACTTCTGTGAGTACTTCGCTGTCTTACACAACTGTGAGTACTTCGCTGTATATAGTATTACATTCTATGCATCAGAGGCATCTAGCTAGTAATGTCAGGATTGAAATCTGACCCCATGTCAGGCAGCCTGTGTTTATGCAGGAATACGTACAAGATACAGAACCCTGCTTGGTGATGATAAGACATGGCATGATCATCATCATCACACTAGACAGTCCGCGGTGATGTTGTGGCTTTGACAGACACCATCTGTGAGTTGACAGGTTCTCAGTACGGAGCTAGTTGTAGATTTATTTAAGTTCAGAACCTGAGGGTGTATTTTTTTCTCATCAGTGGATAATGAGCATGGTGCTCAGCAGTTTCAGGGAAGAAGATGCATAGATCTTCATTGAACATACACAGATTTTTCTTTGTGGCCATAACCTACAGCTCACTCTTTATTCTCTCCATTTTCTAATTCATTCAACTGATTCTTGTGGTCTGATCTCTGTTTCTGAGAGCACTGCTAGGACATTCTCACACTTTTATCATATCAAGTAGTATTTGAACATTTAGCTCACTGGTGCTGTCCTGCTTGTTGGTCAATTAAGACATGACTGGCTAGGTCTTTCAGGATCCTGGGGGAATTACTAAACAGCATGGAGTCACATGTAGACCATCACAGCCTGGAGAGAATGGTGCAACTTAGAGTGACCAGCAGATTTGGCTGACACTCTTCACTTAGATGCAAGATAAGATAGACATAGCCAGACCATGAAAAAAATGAGAACATAGCTCTTATGGGAATGTCCTGAAGGCAGTGATATTGGTTCGTCACTCAGCTCAACTGGACATTTTACTTACTGTTGCAGTCATGTTGGGGATATAGAATTTGAACACATGCCCGACACTCGATCCTGTTGGTTAGATAAAATTTGAGCATAGACATAGTATCTAGCTGTTGTATGCATTCATAATGAATGAATATTCTTATGTTCTGAAAACAGTATGTATTTCTACCTTCATATACACATATTGACATAAATTAGGGGGACAGTTCTAATACCCACTAGAGGAAAGTTCATTTAGTCATGCTCCCATCTGTGTAGATTACTAATTTTACTCCTGCATTTAGTGAAAAATCTTTCCTAATTGATATTTGGGGGAGTCAGATGACAAAAATATTTCCCCAGAAGGCTTCTAACTGACATTGTATTATTTGTGTATGATTGAATAGTTGGAGATTTTGCAAACAGCATTGGAGTCTTACTGGTGCTTTCTTCTGGCATCTCTTTTCTGTCATTCAAGTGGTTACAAATTGTCTTAGTGGTAAATAATTTATTTACTTACAGTCCCCGTCCACAAGAGAGGAAGAAAGAATATCCAGTTTGGTTGCCGGTGGTGATCATTGGGATAGCTGTAATTCTGGGTTACCTCATTTATGCCAACATGGAGCCGGCTGCAAAGAGCAACATTCCTGGTGTTTCCAACAAAATTGAAGTTTAGTTTGGTCTGGCATTTGAACACTGCACATGATACTTGGTTGAGTAACACTTTCATGTGAAACTTGCTGATTGTGTCAACTGTAAATGGAGAGAGAGAGATGTTGAGACATACCTAACATGACTTAAGTCTAGTCATTGTTTGGCATAAAAAGATTAAACATTTCATGAATGACACTTTTTTGTGCAACACTTTCATTTGAAAACTGTAACAGAACGAGGCATTCAAAATAGAACTGAAATATAAACACTTTATGGAACTGAGCATTAAAACTGTTTTGTAAATGAGATTACATCTATGCAGCAACTGTCTCAAATTTTGAATTATGGTGGCAGGCCAAAAGTTCCATAACTGTGCTTCATAATGGTCTTGTCCTGGCTCACCACTGTTCAGATTTGGCTAATCTTGGTGTTCTTGTCCTGGCTCACCACTGTTCAGATTTGGCTAATCTTGATGTTTCAGGTGAACATAGTGTGTGTCTTTTGTAGTAGGTTTGGTTCACACAGGATCAGAAACTAGAACTTGGGGTTCCTGTGGGTGCAATAGAAAACCAGCATATTTGATCAAACTTTTTTTTTATGAACTCATTATTACCTTTTACTATCTACAAACATTGGAGATTCCTGAAAAAGAGGGATGGCTTGGTCTCAGTCCCCAAATCCATCAAGAAAGGGTTTTTTGTAAAAATAAAAGAGATACATCCTGTGAGTGTAAAACTCCCACGACAAACCTAAAGCTAGAGTAACTATCGCACACACAAAACTTGGAAGCTCCTTGTAGATAAATACAAGCAGACAACTGGCAAATCTTGTGACCAGTTGATAAAGTAATTACTAGCACCCTTTCCACACCATTGGTGCATTGGGCGTATAGTACACGACCTGCATTGTTTAAGTCTGATCACACTTGATGGGTGATGAGGTCACAATTTATGCTCGTGACCTTCACTCTCTGAAAGAATCCATACGTTAACAGGCTAATTCAGAGGGTCAGGAAAATATTAAACAGTGAGTGGAAAACAGGCTAGCTTTTAATCAGGTTGCAACTGGTTCTATTAGCATATCGACTCTTTATTGGCTACGGGGAAGAGGGGATGGACCGTGTATGGGAATGTCCAGAGTACAGGGATGTCAGTTCTTGTCATTGATTCCTAGAACATGACTCCTATAACATAGTGACGCAGAAGTTTATCAGCTGACAGAGGACTACTCTCGGCCAGTACACTGATAGGCCAGGGGCAGAAAAAGTGGATGGAGATTTTTTGTAAAAGCATGGGGCAGAAGGATGAGTGAGGAGTGCTTGGCATACAACATTACCACATCCAGGGAACGAACTTTATTTTCAAGGAGTCACAAATTGGGCACACAGGCCCGTTTTACATTCGGCCCTTTCAAACACCCGTCTTTCACACTGTAGCTGTATTTTATCAATAAGCATGTTATATCCATATGAAAATATGCATAATATGATTATCAACAACAACAAAAAGAAGAAAAAAACACAAAAGTGTGGGTGGTAAAATGCATGCACACACCATAAACACACCCCCGTTCACCCACATACATATCTACCTACCTACACAGACACGCACATTTCTCATGCAGATATACACATGCACACCTGAGTTGCATCAATCCACCAAAAGTCATAGCTGGTGAGACGTATTTTGCTACGGACCAGGTAGGCGTGTTTGGGAATGAGTAGGCAGAGGGATTAGCTGGAATGGCCCCACTTGGGGCTATGCTGCAGCTGCACAAAGCAGAAATGATCTGTGCCTGTGAGACAGGTAGAATAGATGTTCAAAACCTGTATCTAGTCAGAATGATGCAGCGGGGAGCGTCTGGGCATCACTCAAGACTCCGAGAAAAAGTCAAGATATGTTGTTAACCAGGTTACCATGGGTATAAACAGTATGGCGGCCCTTCGCTGGCTGTTGAAAAGGGAGATGGGGCTTCTCCTGAAGGCTTTGATGTTTAATCTTTACCCAGATTGATTATTCCCAGTCTCCCATTGTAGTTCACACAAGAATCTCAGCACAGTGCACAAGACACTGTAGCACCAGCAAGGATCATGTTGTCCATTATTTGTAAACAAGCAATGGAGGAGCTCATTAGCATAGTAGCTGGATGCTCACCTGCCAGCCCAAATGTCTTGGGTACAAATCTGCACTGTGGCAGATTATTTCCTAAAAAATAGTGCCCTTGGTTTCCCAGGTCAACCGACGCTAAAATGGATAACCAGAAAATGTCCTGGGAAGTAAAGATGACCACTTTTTCCTGATTCCATAATAAAAAATAAGAGTGTAGAATAGTTTGACCTGATGCACCCCTGGTGTCCAAAGTCTCCTTTACTTTCAGGATTATTATTTTCAGACAATTGTTTTTGTTTCGTTAAACAGAAAAGTTTCAGTCGTGCGCATTTTGTCTTCAACATTTTGAGACCTTGAGATTCATTGCTGCAGATTTTACGCACCTCATTTTATCTCTGTGATTGACCTTCTCTTTCCAGGTGATGACAAATTGTGACGTGCTTGGATATTATCTTTCCACAGCCTTCTTGGTCTACAGCTATTAACTGTTGATATAGTTTTTGTCTCTTTCATCTGCCGTTCACTCTGTTTGCTCCCACCCATTTCAAACTGTTAGCCCTCATGATGCCAGTGATCAGTGATGATTTGAACATTTTATGAATTTCATTGCTACTTCTCATTCTCCATTCCCCGCTGTTTGCATCTTTGATAGGTCCAAAGATACATCATAAGACTGTTTTCAACAATTTGTAATAAGGCTTCATCTCTTTTAGTTGTACTCCAGGTTTTAGAGCCATATAAGATAAATGATTTTGTCAGCATTTTATATACAGTGCAGCCATGATAAAACTGCTGGACGTAAATTTGCCTAGAAAAACCACACAACAGCCAGGGTCTGTTGGTGTTGGTTCTGCAACGTCCTGTAAAGGATACGCAACTAACCTAACAGCCATGATATGGAGAACTCACTCATGGACCCAACAAATTGTTCTTAGCAGAAATTCCTCTTATCGGATAAGAGTTCAATCAATCACTCTACGGTGAAAGTTGGCAGCAATGGATCTCCAACACGCTCTGTCTCTTGTCCTGGTTGTACACTCTCTCAGACTGCTGTCCGTCCATCTCTTGATGTTGTCCTCCCACCTGTTTCATTGCCTACCTCTTGCTGTCTTGCCTTCGACCTTTCCCTCCAATATGGTTTTTAAAAACGTGTTATATCTTCTCAGAATATCTTGGACAAAGAAGAGGAGAAATATTGACATCTTAAAAGATCTGAACATCAAGGAAGAATGGCCAATAAACAGCATCCTTTCTCGGAAGCTGAAATATTTTGGTCATATCATGCGCCACGACAAATTGGAAAAAATTATAGCAGAAGGCATGGCACCAGGAAGCAGGGGCCGACCGACACAAAGATGGGTACAGGATATAAGTGACTCTTTGAGTGTGAAAGTTCATGAGGTGGGAGAACTGGTGAGAGACCGAGTTTCTTTCAGGCAGACCGTGATGAGAGCGACGTTCTGCAAAGGACCTGCTACATGATGATGATGTTATGTCTTTTAATGTGGCCAAAGTATTTCTGTTAACTCTTTTTTATATCTTTCAGTAACTGACTTTTTATTTGTAGTCTTTCCAGAACCTCTACAATTGACTTTTTATTTCTATGAAATATGATCTATTCTTCTGTATACCCATATTTCCAGGGACTCAATGTGATTATCTAGTTGCTTGTTTATTGTCCAAGTTTCTGCACCATACAGCAAGGCTGGGTGTACATTACATTTGATAATTCTCATTTTTAGTATGTTTTTTTTTTGTTTTTTTTCTTAATCACTTTAGCTGTCAGTAATGTGCTCATCTTTATGAAGACAGTTTTAGCCATTCCTATTTTCTTTTTGACCTCTGTTTCACTTCTTCCATTGTCTGTTACTGCATGTCCTAGATAGGAGAAACTTGTTCTAATAGCTCTCCATTTACTGCGATGTTCACTGTTGTCCAACCTTTTCCATTGTTAATTACCCTAGTATAAGAAGAGTTAAAGCATATGTTAATACATGTACAACATACAGTAGAGTAAAGTCTTCACCGACATAGGAGTGTTGGACCGTAGGAGTGTTGGCTGGTGTAACCGTTACAGTTGTCCTAATTATAACTTCTTTAAAGGTTGAACAGGTTATCTGGGATGTGCCTTGTTGGTCTGTTGTTCATAATTAGTTTTTTTTTTTTTTTTTTTTTTTAGATGTTAGGATGCTTTAGTTAATCTTCAGGTATAATTAATATAAGTATAAATGTACAAATGATTGATCACCACAGGATATGTAATTCACCAGAAATTTTCATTTAGAGGGGAAATAATCTAAATTCTAACATGGACAAAGGGCACAATTGTCAAAAAGTAATGCAAGTGTCCAGGTATTTGAAAAAGTTTGAAGCACATCAAATTATACAGTCAGAACAGTTTATTTATTTGGCATATCCACAATTTTTGTGATGAATGTAAATAGAAATAATGAGTGCAAGAACTCAAGCTAATCATTAGTCTGAATTCATGGCATAATACATGAGTCAAGAATTTACATCACAGCACTCGGGGCATTCCCACATGCACTCCATCCCCAACCTCAGTAGCCACCGCAGAGTTCCAAATCTAGTTTCTCTTCTGACTTCGTTACTTGTTCCCAAAGGGTCTTGACCACATCTGTCTGCCTGTTTATTACCCACCACGCAGGCATAACCTGGAGAATAGATCCAACGTATGCTCACTACCTGTGACCTTGCAAGTGAAGCTTGCCACTCTGCTCAAAGAAATCCTGTCTTCACCTTTTTTTCAACATTCTTTGAGAGTCTGTTACAATCACGACATGTGTATGTATCTTGTTCTCTAGCTACCGGCAGGCTGCAGTGACTGCCTCCACCTCCATTCTCATGCAAGATGTTGTGGTATCATATGCCGGCTGTCCTGCACTAAAGATTT